AAATATATAATTTATATAACCTATAGATTTTCCTCCTCTCATAAATCCTAATACAGAAAATTATTGCTTGCAAAATTTTCTGAACATTTCCACCTACCCTTATTTAAAGGAATGACCAACATTAATAAAGATAGATTTGTTACAGGGAAATGTTGTTTATTCTCTGAGTTGCTTTTAGTACAAACTATTTTGCATATACACTCTCACAGTTTCTCTTCCATAAAACAGTGAATTCTGAATGAGGCTTTTTGTGTATGATACTTACTTGTCTTGCTTTTTGTTAAGAAGGCACATTTGTTACCACAAATATACAAACTTACCTGCAATATTCTAGTCATACTTTTTATTTTTAGTGAAATGCAGACCTATTGTGATGAAATGAATTTGATCTTGCCGAGTAGACTGTAGAACTTTGATTTTATTAATATAGCTTACTGGACATTTATGGATGTATTTTCCAGAATGTTTTTTGAAAAGTTAGTTCATTTTTATGATATTCTTTTTTAAGTAAGCTATATCTGCTTTTACTTTTGCTCCCCACTTCTACTGGGTCTGCCTTGTTTTGTTTTCTTTATTCTTTATGGTAACACTTCTTGTACTGTGTATCTTTTTGTCTTCCTCTATCTTCCTGAATCTTTAAAATCACTCTTTTTTATTAGTGGGTGGCTAATAATATTTTCCTGTAATTTCCATTGGCCCCGATATGTCAGGGGACAGAGGTGTTCATTTTAATCACTTAAGTTTTCTGGGTTATTTAGAGGTTAAACTAGCTGGACGCTAATGGAAAAGGGAAATGCTAAGTGAGCGATGTGTTGTGAGTGACTTTGCAGAACCGCAGCTACCATGTTCTGGAGAGTGGGAGATGCATACTGACATACAGAATGGAGTAGGTGTTGGAGCAGATGTATGCAAACATGCATAACCAGCCAGCAGCTGCCTGGAAAGTAGAAGGTTTGCTCAACGCAAAGAGTCATGGCTAGTCACCATGAATGTCATCAAAAATAGTGGCAGAAGTGTCTGGAAGGATGTTCTGGTTTAAGCTCCTAGGGCGTACAGCTTACTCATTGAGTAGACTGAAAAAACAGAATGTATATTTGTTTTGTTCTTCCTACAATGGTGAAATCTAGATTTGCTGAAAGTCTTAGAATTGTTAGTAACTAATTTTTTCTTTTTTATCTTACTCTTTCAAACATTGTTGCTTTTCTTTTTGCTACATCCATCTCATCAGTTCAGAAACATTCACATAATTCTATTTACTTCATTTGTAAGGCTTGGCTGACTACCTTTTCCATCTAATGACGTTGATATGACCCATGGCATTGCTGTTTAGGAGTTGGATGTACTGTGCTCAACAGCTGTAGCCCATTCTGGAAGGGGGGTTTCTGTTTTGAATATGGTGTGACAATACTTTCCAATTAAGAATATATTCTGAGTGGTGCTTCTTTGTATTGTTTTCGGGGGGGTTGTAAATGGTGGTTTTATAGTGAAAATAATGTCTAAAATACTGTTTGTCATACTTTTTATTAGCTTTACTTGTAGTTCTGCTGAATATTATCTCAATCTCTGATCAGAACCAGACATCTAGAATATGATTCTGGTGGTGATGGTGTACTGTAATATTTCTCTGTTCAGTCAGCTTGTTAGAAGTATAGCAAACTGAAACAGGAATCTGTGCTCTTCTGGAAGAGTGGACGAGCAGAGAAAAAGCTAAAGATTTAGTGAGATAGCAGATGATGTCAATGTTAAAGCGAGAACTGAGATAGGAGACGATGTCACTGTCAAAGCGAGAACCACTGCATGAGATAAAGTGAACGAAGTATTGTTAATTCTGTATGCCCATGAACCAGCTGCTCTCAATTAGCCTATCCTTAAAGGTTGGCAGGCAAGCTATATTTTTCAAGAACCCTAACGTATTTTGTAACCAGTTGCCTGTCTCCTAATACCAAAACCTAGAGAATAGGAAGACTGGCAAATATATTACAAGGACAGTTGTCACAAGAGCTGTAAATTAAGGCAGTAAAACTTTATTGGGCAAGGTCTCTAGTCAAAGGCAGGTAGAGATTCCCATGCAGCAATGACTTCTGGGATTTGGGGGCTATTAAATGATTATTGGGTATATATCCCTAACTGACCTTTTCTTCATTCAATTCAGTACTTAATACTGCAAGTGGAAACCAGTGGCAAGATGATATAGTCCAGGGAGGTTCCAGCTTGCTCTTGACACCAAGTATTAGGTTTTTCCTTGCTAAATTTTCCTTTCAAAATTAGTGAGTATGCCCATTTATTAAAATTTTAAAAATCCCCCCCCCCCCTCCCCCAAAAGAAAAGATTTAATTTATGAGAGTAACCATTTGTCAATGGGATGGTGAGAGGAAAAAATTGACGAAGGAAAATTGCTTTGGAAATTTTTGCAAAGCATACTGCAGTGAAATTCCTGGTAAGCAAAGCCAACAGTACAGCCATTGCTGCAGAACGTATTTCTTCCTATCAGACAAATGCAAATTACAGAGCATGCCTGTGGCCCTGTGAGAAAAACTGTTGACAGTGTTAATACCTGCGACCTCCGAGTGAAGTATTAACTAAACTGAACGTTGATCTAATGATATCTAATACTTTGTCTCTTTAAGCTGGAGACACCATTACTGATGGTTTAAGCTCAAAATAAACTAACCCATACATTTATGTGCATTTTGGTATCCTTAAGACCTAGAACTAATGTTACGGTAGAGAATTCTTTCTATACATTATCACCTAGACCAATTTAGAAAATAGTGAAATAACAATATCTCTTTTCATATCTTTCTGAATCACTGGGGTGGGTGGAGGGAAGATAATGTTTATGGAGCAATCTGTTTTGATAGAGGCATCTGTTGACATTGATAGTTTCAGGCTTCTAGAGCAATAGACAGACACTTCTTTTGCTCATACTTTCAAGGGTGCACAAATAATTTTTTTAAATAGTCACATGAACTGTAACCACCTCGTTGCATAGCTATACATGCACCGCTTCAGGAAAAAATGAACAGCTTTATGCAAAATAAGCCAATTTTCATAAAAATCACTGATAAAGAAACTCTATTAAAGAATCAGATTTCTTTGGTGTAGATTTCAAACTAGATAGCTGTCAGTCAGTTCTGATTTACAGCAAAAATAAAAACTAAAAAACCAAACAACTGTGAACCCTTCAAATATAAATTCTGTTGATTTAAAAACTCAAGTCAAGCTTCTTGGGAAATAAAAGAAATATTTTCATCAATCTTCTATTTTCTCTGACTATGTTATGTGACTTCAATTCTTCTTACCCTGGTATTTTTATGCAGACGTCAACCTGTGAGTCCTCCACCCCCTCCAAGGCCTATCTCCCCACCACATACCTATGGATATATCTCAGGGCCCTTGGTCTCTGATATGGATACTGACGCACCAGAAGAGGAAGAGGATGAGGCAGATGTAGAGGTTGCCAAGATGCAGAACAGAAGGCTCCTTTTGCGTGGCCTTGAGCAGACACCTGCCTCCAGCGTTGGGGATTTGGAGAGCTCTGTAACAGGGTCCATGATCAATGGCTGGGGTTCAGCCTCCGAAGAAGATAACATCTCAAGCGGGCGGTCTAGCGTTAGCTCTTCAGATGGATCATTTTTTACCGATGCAGATTTTGCACAGGCTGTTGCAGCAGCTGCGGAGTACGCTGGCCTGAAAGTAGCCAGACGTCAAATGCAGGATGCAGCAGGAGGTGAGTTTGTCCTCTGTTTGGTGGGAGTAGAAAAAAAATGGCTGTTGTGAAATGTATTTATCCACAACTGCTTCCTGGATTATTCTTGTTCTTACAACATTTAGAAATTCAAGGGGGGGGTCAGTTGACGCTAGTGGAAGAGTCAGAAAAGGAGTTTTGGTGAAACAGTTCAAATAAATTGCTGTTCTACATGGTTTTTCATAAGTAGTTCCTAATTTTTGGTCTCATTGATTACTGCCAAACCTCAACCCTGCTGGTGGATTTCCACCCAGAACTGAATGAGGGGGGAAAAAAAAAAAAAAAGGATTACAGAATTGCATTCTTTTCCTAGTATAAGGCTCCCAGTGTTTTCAGTCACTCTTCATAAGAGGTTTAATCCCTCTGTATTGAAATGTATATTTCAAATAAATAGTAAAAATTTAGAGTCATATTCCTCTGGATTTGAAAAAAAAATTGTAATATATTTGGTTTCCATTTTATATTCAGTTGTTATCTTTTGGAGAATGCTGTTCAAGCTGTTACTGCTGTATTGAGATGAACTGGGTTGGTTTTGTGTTGGTTTCATATTTTGATAGCTGTTATTAGTTGCTGTTTAGATTATAGATTATGAAAGGCCTTATGGATACGTTTCTTACTTATGTTTTTTTCTCCTGAATCACCACTGGACATATGAAATATGATATTTGAAATATTTAGTGTTTTACAACATACTGGTTACTAGTAACACTGGGTACATACAGGTAATCAGTAAGCTGATCAGTAACTAGGCCCAGTGGATATTTTTATAGTTCAGCTAAGAAATAAGAATACCACAGAGTGGGATGCAGGTTTCAAGCAGATCCATGAATGTTTGCCAATCAATCCTATTAAACTGCCAAACCTGGAGAAGAGGTACTCTGTCACAACTGTGTCCACCCTGACTGCACAGATTTGCAATCTTCCTCCCATTTCTGATATCCTCTCCCAGTTAACAGTCCTTTGTTTCATTTCAACACAGCTGTTCATCATGAAGAGTGAGAGGGGAGGTAATTTAGTAATTCTGGATGAAATCCTGGCCGACTGAAGTAGGTGGCAAAACTCCCATTCATACCCACGGGGCCAGGATTTTATCCATTTTATACATATACGTTTGTATAAATATGTGTGTCTATGTGTGTGTAAATTTATATATTTAGAAGAGGTCTTTTTACATCCTGTTCATATTACACGTAAATAATTCTACAACAGTCAAGTTCATGTTATGCAGTGATTTTTATGTATTTATATTACCCATACCTGACTACCCATCCTAAAAATGGGACACTTCTTATCTGCAAATAAGCTGTGATGAAACGCCATATATCCCCGATGCATTCCTGGTAATTCACTCAAAGCGGCGGAGGGGACATCTGTACCTGAGACCTGCTGGTGGCTTGCTCTGTTCATGGCATGGGAGACCTCGTGCTGCCCGAGCTCGGGGAGGCGAAACCCCTTTTGAGAAGTGAAATGCTTTGTTGTTTCTGGAAGGTGAAAAGCCTGCCAGTGTTTGACTGCTGAGAGTGTTCAGCTTCCTGGTGCAGGAGCTACCAGCTACCAACCATTTGGATAATTTCTGTGAAACTAAGCCAACCTACCTACTGACAGGATAGCAAATGCTTCGATGCAGTTATGGTTCACTCTAAAACTGATTACAGGAAGGATGTGAGTTTTATTATTGTTCCAACAGTGTATTTTCAGGTCTTTTATAGCTAGGTCATTCTGATGTGAAAAAAGAGAAAGTATGAAATATCTTATTTTAGATAAGGAAAATAATAGCTCTTGTTCTGTAACGATTTCCAGGCCGTAGACATTTTCATGCATCACACTGTCCTAGACCCACCAGCCCCGTGTCTACCGACAGCAACATGAGTGCTGTTGTAATACAGAAGGTCCGACCTGCCAAAAAGCAAAAACACCAGCCAGGACATCTGCGCAGAGAAGTCTACACAGATGGTGAGTCCACTGAAATGGGTGAAAACGTCAGTGAACCTTTCTAAATATGCATTCAGTGCGTGTGTGTGAAATTTTTCCACAGAGATAACATTATGTTTCAGAATTCAGTGATTTGTGTTTCCTGTTGCTAAACACACTGAACAGATTAATCATTTTAAATGCCAGAGTTCCTTAATACTGTACATTGATGCTTCCACTCCAGAGCCTCGCACCTGTTTTCTGTAGTGTCCTAATCGACTAATTACTGTCATTATTTAAGAGCCCAGATAGCATAAATAGTACAGTCATTGAGAATAATGTGTGGTTAGGATAAAAATCTTCGTTCACATGACTAACTATTAAAACGTTCAGAATGTATCCTTTCCTGAAAAAAACAATTTACCATTCAAATGGTGGGCAACACAAATCAATGAATTTTAATCCTGACCACAGCATTGTTGCAAGCGGTTATTTTGTGAGTAAAAGCGAAATCTAATCATCTTCTTTCGTGCCTTCACACACAATATCAACTCCT